AGAAATGTTTTAGTCATAGATTAAAATTATTGATTAAATAAAGTATTAGCATGATTGCTGAAAAAAAAAAAAAAAAAGTATATTTTAATGAATTTTATATTAATTTTAATAAATTTACTACTGTTAGAATCACAAGAATATGCTTTATAACTTTACTTAGAAGGATAAAAATATTTATTCAAGAAAATATTTTGTAATATTAAAAAATAAAAAAATTTATCATTAAGTTTATATATAATTTTAAAGTAGTACTCTCTATCTTTAATAAATAATAACATAATTCAGATCAGTATGTTTAGTAAGTATAATCAATAATAAATTTCTATAAACAGAGTTTGAGATTCAGTTTTTTGTATATGCTTTGAAACAATATTTAATAAGTTTTCAAGCACAAACTAACCAGTTTAAGCAGGATAATATCTCTATATAGTAGTTAGATTGTCAAACTACTATATAAAAGGTCTGAAATTCAAATTCTACTATTAACAAATTTGAATAATTACTTAGATCTTTGTATTTAACTTATAGTAAACTCTATTCGTTTTTAAGGTTGTAACCTTGTAAATCATATTGTACTAATATTAATCAGATATTGAAAGTACAATATAATATTTGAGTTTTATTATATGAATAAATCTTAATAAAATTTATAAATAGGGGACCTACATAGTAGAAATCCTGAATTAAATAAAGTAATATAGATTTTAATAGTTATACTAGTTAACACTTAATTCAAAAAAAAAATTTGTATATAAAAGATACAAATTGAGTAGATATGAGTAAGTCTGCTATGTAATATAGCCTGTTGCTTTGTATTAATAGCAATACTAACTTGGCTTGACAGCTAACTAAATTTAGGAGAATCTGCCTTATAAAATATCTGAATACATAAATAATTAATCTAGTGAAGAGCTACAGTAAAAACTGAATTTATATGAATATTTATAAGAGTATATACTAACTTAATTAAGATATAGCATAGCATAGTTGAAGTATTTCATAGCTCTTCTCAAAGAAGACAATAGAGTATCTTGAGATAGAGCCTTTCTTAATAGAAAAACCTAAAACACAAACTAGTCTAAATAGTCCTCAATGAGATAACACAAGATTGTGCAGGTTTAAAAATAAAATTGAGTTGATATTAAAGATGACAGTAATGTTAGAGAGTTTAAAATAGAGTAGCTACAAATGAATACTAGGTATAACAATTAGTAAGTAACCTTTGAGTAAAACCTTTAAATAGACAATGATTAAAATTATATTTATGATCAATTGTACTCTCATTAACTAATATAAACTTACAAATAATCTAATAAAAATTAACTGACATTAAAATCTTATTGTAACAATAAAAAAAAAAAAAGTATTTGAGTAAGTTCAGAATTACAATTATTTATTATATATAATTAGTTGAACTTATACCATATAATGATATAAGAGTAAAGTCTTTTGCATATCTAGTTTAGTGAACATATTCATATGTTTGGTTTAGCTAGAATGTTTACATATGTAATCAGTATAAAATGATAATACGTAAAATGAAAAACAAGTTCCTCATATAGGAAAAAAAATGGATCCGTATCATTTCACCGACAATCATTTCATCATTTAACCGACATCACGCCAAGTGACAATTTACTAAAAATATATACCTGAAACTAATAAAACCCTAACCCTAACCCCATGTGATGTCGGCTAAATGAACTTTCGGTGAAATGACTGTCGGTGAAGTGAGCGGCACCGAAAAAAAATATATATAATTATTATATAAATTATGAGTTTTTATTAATTATATTAGTAATTTAAACAAGATATTTAAAAAATAATACCAAAATACTTCTATTTTATTAACTTATTTTATAAAATACAATATTAACGACAAATATTACGACCTACGTGATATGATACAACTTTCATAATTTACTAACTTGTAGCATTACGACAAAACTGTAATGGTCACGAAAAAAGTTGCTAATGACTGCACCTCTATACAGAATTAAAAATTTTATAAAATGCAAGGCCTTGTTTCGCTTTATTAATTAAAACAAACATAGTGATATATTAATGACAAATAGTTACAAGTCAACTAATAACTTTGTCAAATAGGTTATAGACTGTGATTTTAAACAACTTAGCGATTAATGTGATAGCAAATAGTAAATAGGTCGGTGGTATATGATGTAGCGAATAAATTTAGAACAAAAAAAAAAAAAAAAAAAAATATCTAAACCTTAAAAAAGTTCAAACAAAATGAAAAATAAAAAATAAAATACATAATAATATATATTCATCCTGTTATTTCCTGAATTTTTGCTCTAGATTTTTCAGCCAACCGTTTAGCTGATTTAGCTAACACAATCACCGGAAATATGTAAATGGTATAAAGGAGGGACGTTATCACAGTAAAAAGGACTGTAACATCATCGTAAGCTAAGAAATGACATTCAAAATGAGAATTATTAACTGAATTCTTTATAAATAGAATAAAACAATCAAAGGAATTACCTCTATCAAAGATGATACGAGGAAGCGAATTTAGGGGGAGTAATTTTGGATCGTAGAATAAAGTCATATTGCCCTTATAATTTCCATAAGTTCCCGAAATATAGATACATAAATATTGTTCCAAACGATAAAGAAAACAGAATAATTTTTGCCAGAAAAAAACTTGAATCGAAATTGGGTTCGGTATTCAAGATTATCCGACTCACCTTTTGTTTTTCCTCACTATTCCAAGTTTTCCGTATGAAAGGCAAAAACAACGTCAATTAGATATAATTATATATATATATATCAAACAAATTCACGAATACTTACGAAGCTTCTCCTATTTGGCATTTGAGTGACTTAATATCTGATTCTTGCTCAGAAATTTTATTAGACATAGCACGCAGCAATTCTTCAATTTTAATCATATGATCAAGCTGTTGCTGTTGTGAAGAAACAATTGATTCAAATGAAGTAAGGTTGGCTATTTTATTTGATTGATTTTCGACAGTGGCGGTGAGAGTAGCGTTTATAGACATGAGTGATTTATTAGAAATTCTGAGATCAAGAAACTTTTAAACCAAAATAAAGAGAAATTGGATTAATTCTTATTAATGTTGAAAATAAATATGAAAAATTTGTAAATAACATACTTTGCGTTGAATTTTAGGATCCGAAGATAATGACATCAGTTCGTTAAGCTCTTCTTGATCTTCTTCGTCCTGTTCTTCACCAGAATTTTCCTCATCTTCATCAGCAGGTTCATCATCATCGTAATTATTTTTATCTTCTGTTTCATAGCCTCCATCTTCTCCTTGTGCATAAGTTACAACTTTTCGAGGATTCGATTGAATGCTCGTCACATCCACAATCGAATCCGCGGAGACTCGAGGTCTACGTGATTTTATAATCGGCTGATAATTGGGGTCAAATGTGCCATGTTCGTCAATTGCGTCGGGTACACGTGACAATATGTTGTCAGATGTGCGACGTAGATGTCCAGGAGGACCTGGATCACTTATATTTGATAATTCTGTTCGAGCTTCTACCTGGCGATATGCAACATCGGACCAGGTTTTAGGAGTGCTGGGAGGAGATCTTGTGTTATATCTCGGATTCATTTGATAATGAACATTGTGTGAAAACGAATCATTTTGATAATGAGTAGAATCATTAAATTCGACAAATGGTTTGGCTTTAACTTTTGATGATCGAGAAGAGGTGGTCCATTCATTAGCGTTAAAAGGGGAATTTACATGATTATATTGATGAATTATATCATCATTTGATTTCAAAATTGATTTTTTAGTATTTGTACTCTGACCGGGGTCACTTCCCCATGAAACATCAGAGCGAGCGTAATTGAGAGAAGAATCGGAATTAGGGTTAAAAAAAACTTTCCGAGAAGAGTCATCAAAGTTTGTATTTTGTCGTCTATAATGGGAACTCTCAGATTCTTCATGTATCATTGTGGCATTGACCCTAGGTTTCCGCGCAGTGTTGTTTCGATTTAGATCACTACTACGAGAAACTTCAGAACGATTATCATGTTTATTTTCTAATTGATTCTGTATTGTAGGACTAAAAAGTGTAGAGTCATCATTTTGTCCTTGCTTGTGCGGTAATCGAATACTATTAAAGTCTGTAATAATCATGTTTGCGGAAACTTTTGCGCGTGCTTTTTTAGGGGCATTGTCTTTTTCAGTGTTTTTGTGTTGATTAACGTCATCTGAATGACCTCCGGTCGCATTGCTAACGTTTGAACTCATAATTGAATCGGTTCTCGCTTTAGGTCTGTTAACGGTATTACGTTGTTCAACTCTAGTTATTGAAGAATTAGAAGATTCGGTTTCGTCTGAGCTAGAACCAGAAACAGAACCAGTATTATCACTCTGGTTTGAAAATTCAGTAACTTCAGTGTTGAAAGCTTTCAAAGAATCAGCTAAAGTAAGAGAATTAATTGTAGGCACCTTATCAGCTAAAAGCGTATTGTTATGAAAGTCTTGGTTTTTTGCTTGGTTAAAAGCTAAACCAGCAGCGCTCATTATAGAACTATTAATTTTCGGTCGAGGATTATTTACAGAACCGTCTTTTGAACCTAAATTCATGTTTTTAGAAAAGCCGTAATAGGTCCTAACAACGGCTTAAATAATTGAGAAACCTTACTTTCAAGAATCCGGGCGTTTTTTATTAACGTAGTTCTTATCAATTTAGAGATTCTGTGTATTGGATACACAATCGAAAAACAATCAATAAAGATTCAATTTAGCATGTCATGCAATTATCCTCGAATTGTAATAATTATAATCATGTGTTTAAAGCAGATAGTATACACTGTGCATGAATGCGCGTGGCGATTTTTTATAAATATAATCGCGGTTTGTTCTTAAAACTTCCTTTTTGTGAATACACTATATTAAATTAGAAAAAAGTACCAAGTTTGAGGGTCATTCATCTTTGGCGTAAAACATATCAGATATTTAACCATGAAAATTTCCGGATTACGGAATAATAGCTTAAAAAAAACCATTCGGTCCATATTAGTAAATACTGTATATCATCGTTATACAATCCACAAAAGTGACGGTTAGAGCTATTATACCCGGGTATAATAAATCCGAAATTGAAATACAAGTAAAGTCTTCGGGCCGGAAAAAAAAAAATTCTTTGTTATCTCTTATATTGAGAGATTACTATATATCGAACTGAAGTTTAATAATACTATAACAGATAATTTAAAATTCGAATCTTTACTATATCGAGAGTTTACTATAACGAGAGTGACTTGTATATGATTTACAGGTTTTCCCTGAATTAATCGACATCGGCCTGCATTAAAGTTAGATTAGTTAGGTTAGAATTAGAGTACCAAAATTATCTTTTTTTTACTAGTATATACTTTCTTTTATAGGCAAATTTTAAGGTAAAAACTTTTGTTTCCAGATTTCTTGTGTACGTAAAGTGATCAAAGTAATTTTGATAATGAGCTACTTTGGCAGTAGATCCGTTGAATATCTGTTATAGATATCCAGTGAATATTCGCGGATTTCAGTCATCCACGAATAATAAAATATAGAACTAGGGATGGGAGCGGCTCAGCTTGACTCAGCTCGGCTCAAAAGCCAAGTAGAGCTTGCTCACTATAAGCCGATACCATCCCTAGTCAACGAACGGATATTCACTAAGATATTTGTGAATTTACGTAACGGATTATCGATGATTTAATTGATTAATCGTGAATATTCACGGATCCAGTCTCTATTTGGCAGTTTACTACTGGCTTACTACCGGTTTACTCCATAACAGATAAAGTTTTGATTAACACGGATCAGCCCGACGAAGCAAAAAGCAACTACCCTAATAGTCGAAAAAATGTGTACAGTGATCGATTACATTAAGCAATGTTGTACTATCAAAACAATACTCGAAAATGGCATAATTTTCTATATATCAGAATGGTGTGTGTTTTAATCGTTGTCGCGATAAATTTTGAAGTATATCAATTTATTTTGGGTACATGCTTGGGCCCAAAAATCAAATCTGCTAATACAGTAATATGAAATTAGGGAGAAGGCAGGGACAGTCAAAATTACTTCGATAATTTCAAATACAGTATTGCATTTTCGATGGCGATAGGTGAATCTGTGCCCTGGTTTTCTGTTTTTATAAAATACCGGTATTGAATTCTATACATTTCATAGAATTCGAATAAAAAATATCGGTACTATTCCTGATAGAATAGAATAGAAATCGATTTACGTATCTTTCTTGATAGGTGGTTCTTTAAAAGAACCTGAAGCTAATTTTTTAATATATGCTAGTCTAGTTATAATAAGGATACAAAGTCATCGACTATTTAATCAAAAATATGTCAGTTACATTAATTATTTTACTATCGCTATGATCAGTTAAATTAAAATAATTAATTGAATAAAATTTTACTATAAAGAAAAGTGCAAAATCACATAAATATTGCACATTTTTTAATTGAAACCGTTTATCAGAACTGTTTCAAAGTAAATATGTCTAATCTTTTGCTAATGTTCTAATTAAGTTTCGATTTATATGTTTAAAATATTTTTTTCATTCTAATTAATGAATTTTCAAGTATTCTATAAAGAAAATATTCAAAATCTACATATTAATACGTAGAAAAAAAATCAAAACAACGCTTTATTCTTTGATTTTATATAAATACTAGTGAAAATTTCATGGCGATTGCACGCCTATATAATCAATACCGAAAATCCATCAGGAAACGGTATTTTTGCATCTTCGATCAAGGTAAAAAAAAACGTCTCAAAATGTATAAGGCCATACAAAATTAATACCTTGGTTTTCATAACCCGGCCGGGTCAGTTTTTGTAAACTTTGAAAAAAATTTCATTATAAAAATCTTCGGGTTAGTTTTTTTTAAAATAAAAGCCGGGTTGTAGAGATCTCGACAACCATCTACCAAGTTTTTTTTTTTTTTTTTTTTTTTTTTTTTTTTGTTTAAATTCTACGAAACAATAAAAAAAATTTCATCAAGTTATTAGGTTATTAGCTATGTCTTCGACCAATTTTTAAAAAAATTCAAGGTCTATATATATCAGAATATAAGCTGCCCAAATTTTTCTAAAGATAACTCGACCTGATCAAATTCTGTAAAAGTGCAATGCGATCCGTTATTCGTTTTCCGGATTCTTAATAATAATTAAAATGTCGGATATCCGGATCGCATCTCTAGTCAGGTGATTGTCGAGTTGTCTTCGATCTTAAAACTTTTCGTCTCAAAATATACGGTACCGTAAGATTTGTGCGAAGATAACTCAACAATCACCTGACATTGAAGATATGTCGTGTTACACGGAAATTCGTTAGATAAATGTCTCTAGAATTATCGATCTTTTTTTTTTATAATTTTAATGAGGTTTACATAATACGTGATTTCGATTTTATTTGCACACAATGAATTTTTCGAAAGTATTTCGACACACTAAAATACCTTCGGTAGGAAGTCTCGTATCAACCTTACAAAACGGGATACGCGTCGCTACAGAAGATACACCAGGGCACTTCTCGGCAGTAGGCGTATATGTGGACGCAGGCTCAAGATATGAAACACCACAAACCACTGGTGTAAGTCACATTTTAGATCGAATGGCATTTAAGGTAAATAATATCACATGTGATTAATCCTTTTATAATCAGCACTCAAGATATTGACTTTCGTTATATTATGTTTAGGGCACAACAACTCATACAAGTGAACAAACTCAAACTATTTTAGAATCATTAGGTGGTAATATTATGTGTGCTAGCAGTCGAGAAGCTATTATGTATCAATCAGCTATATTTAGTCAGGATTTGCCAAAGATTATATCATTTTTTGCCGACGTGATTCGCAATCCACTTATTGATCCAGAAGAAGTTGCTGAACAACGACAAACAGCACTCTATGAAATCCAAGAAATTTGGCAAAAGCCTGAAATGATTATGCCAGAATTGCTCCATATTGTTGCTTATAAGAATAATACACTGGGAAATCCAATGTTATGTCCGGAAGAAAGATTAAGCATAATTACACCGGAACTTATAAAAGATTATATGTTAACATGGTATCGTCCTGAACGAATTGTGGTGGCTGCTGCAGGAGCTAAACACGAAGAAGTAGTTGAATTAGTTAACAAACATTTTGGTGATATACCAAAATCACCAGATTTTAATTCTCATTTTTTATTGCCACACTCAGTCACTTCATCAAATTATAAACAATCAAAATCATCATTATATAAAACAATAACTACAGCTGCATCATCAATCCTTCACCCAAAACAACCAACAACATCTAACATTGCGACACAAAAATCACATTATACAGGTGGTACGCTCTTGCTCGACAAATCACAACCTCACACTCATCTTTATATATCGTTTGAAGGACTTTCAATTTATGATCCTGATATATATGCACTTGCTATACTTCAAATGTTACTTGGAGGAGGAGGTTCATTTTCAGCTGGTGGACCAGGAAAAGGGATGTATACGCGCTTGTTCACTAATGTTCTAAATCAATATTCATGGGTGGAGTCTTGTATGTGTTTCAATCATTGTTATACGGATTCAGGACTTTTTGGTATTATGGCATCATGTCGTCCTGAATATAATCGCGCGTTAGTAGATGTTATTGCAAAGCAATTCGAATCTGTGACAAGTTATGGACGTGAAGGAGTAACTCAAGTGGAACTGGCGCGTGCAAAGAATCAATTAAAAAGTAGTATATTAATGAATTTAGAATCTAGAATGGTTCAATTAGAGGATCTAGGTAGACAGGTTTAGTATTTTTATTTTAATAATTTTTCAGATAATATTTTTGAGTTAAAAGTCAAAATTTTGAATAAATTATTAATATATATATATTTTTTATAGGTTCAAGTCCATGGTTTCAAAATCCCGGTGGAGGTGATGTGTAAAAAGATCGATGATGTTACATTGGATGATCTTGTGAGGGTTGCAAGGAAAATTATCAGAGGGCATGTAGTTAACGAAGGGAAAGGTACTGGACAAGTAACGGTAGTTGCGCAAGGAGATTTAAATGGATTACCAGATGTAGCTAAAATTTGTGAAGGATATGGTCTAGGTAAACATGGTGGTTCGAAATGGTTGTTATAATTAACTTATTGGTAAATTGTAATTTAAATACACGAGATTTTCGTGTTATATTCGAGTACCATAATAGATTTATTAATGCAGTAATGTATTGTACTACGTGGCGCAGCATTTATGATCAGTTCAGATTATCACATCATCAGGTTTAAAATGCGTTTTAATTTTTTTTTTTTTTTTTTTTTTTTCGCGTAAAGTAAACCGAAAATGTCGACTACAGACAAGGATAATTTAAAAACAGTTTCATATACAGTACTTGATTTATTACCTAAAATTTCTTCGTTAGTTGATACGTGTGATTATCAATTAGCCTTACAATTTGCTAAAAGAGCTTTGAATATGGAAAGTGATAACATTAAAGTTTTAGAAATTTTGGGAATGGTAGAAATAGAGTTAGGAATGTTCGATGAAGCTAAAGAGGTATTTTAGTGGTGAAATTGAAGAAATAATCTTAATTTTTAATTGAAAAAATATTTTCCACCTTTATTTTATATATGAGATACAGTATTTAATAATTATTATCATATATTGTCATTATTTACATAATAATAAATATATAGCATTTTTTGAAAGCCATTTCAATAAATCCAAATCAGGGATATTCAAAATATATGTACATGGGTCAATTATGTGAAGGTTTAGAAGCAATTCAAAATTTTCAATGTGGTGTTAATTTAATGATTGACGAACATAAATCAATTATTTCCAATAAGTCTTCATCACCAACAACAATATCATTACAAGATTCACAAGAATCTTTAAATCGTAAAATTTCTACAGCATTATGTTCAATGATTGAAATTTATTTAACTGATTGTTGGTAAGTTAATAAAGCTATTAGAAGAGAAAAAGAATTATTAGTCTAATAATATATTTAAAGTTTTGAATCAGACGCAGAATTAAAATGTGATGAATATTTAAATAAAGCTTTGGAAATCGATTCAATGAATCCTGAAGTCTATCAATTATTAGCTTCAGTTAGACTTTCTCAACAAAAGAACGAAGAAGCAAAAATTGCGTTAGAAAAAAGTTTAAATTTATGGATTAATTTAGAACCAGGTATTTTTAGGTTCAAATATCTATTAATTATTGATATAGTTATTTATTTTTTGTCATTATTTATATATACTTAATATTCTTATTACTCAAAGGAGATCCGTTAATACCCTCTTACGATATTCGAATATCTCTAGTAAAATTACTTCTTGAACTTTCCCAATATAACAAAGCACTTGCTGTTCTTGAAATCTTGCAAAAGGAAGATGATCAAATAGTCGATATATGGTATCTTTATGGATGGTGTTATTATTGTATGGGTCAAGACTCGTTGCAAAATAAGGAAGATTATTTAGCTCATTGGGAAGACGCTCGTGATTGTTTGATTACTTGTGAAAAGGTATTTAAAGAAAATGCTAAAAAAGTTCTTCGTTACTCTCAAAATTATTTTGTCATTGACACGCCAATCTATTATTAATTTTTTTTAAATATAAAATTGAACATAGTTATATCGTAAGACTGAATCGGATGATGAAGGTATCTTACAACATACACAAGAAATTTTACAAACCATCAACTGCCACGTAAAGCCGGTATCCACGTCAGATGATGATGATGACCATGAAAATGATGCTGATGAGTGGGAGGATTTTAGTGCTGATGATAGTGATGATTATCATCAAATGGAATTGTGAGAAAATATACAAAAAATAATTATGGGGTTTTTCAGAATTAAAATCAGAAAATCTTATTTTATTTTTCCAATACTATTTAAAAAATCTTATTTAATTTTATAATGCGCTACTTATTTATTAATTTTAAACTCTCTCAATAATAAAATGATAAAAAAAATATAATAAATAATCAAGTTCAAAGCAGAATTTAGCTTAATTTGTAGTTTACTTGATGTTACTTATTTTTTATTATTTATTTCGTTAGATAAAGATATCTGTTGAATATAATCAAACTTGTTTTTTTACTAATAAAAAAAAAAAAAAATCAAAAATATAATTTTATTTCTTAATTTATTTATATAAAAATTTTTTAATAAATTTTTTTTTGATCTTAAAGTAAGTATTTGACTTTAAGTATTTTATTATTTTGCTATTTTTAGATCATGCTATGATTATTTTTATTTTTTATTATTTATTAAAATTGCTTTTTTAGCTAATTGAATTTTATTAGCTTAGTATTACAGAGTTGCGTATATAATAATCTTCTAAGGTTTGTAATTACATAATAAGTTTATAACAAACTATATATACAACTTTAGTTATTGTTTATTTAAATAGTTTACTATATAGATATTAAACTATCTAATTAATTTTATATTATACTTGTCATACTTGTAACTTGTCTATAAGTTACTTATTTAAATATTCTAGTTATTAACTTATTTTTTATAGTAAATTAATATTATTATTATATATAATTACTTAAATTAGCTAACTTGTTTATAGATTTATTTATTATATGATTTAAGTTTTTTCAAAATATTTTTTGTTTAATATCTTATAAGTATACAATTTCTGATTAATCTTAAAAGTAATTCTTACTGAAGTAGTTTTATGTTTATTTTATAGATTTATTTGATTTAAATTCTTGTAATATTTTTATAACTATAGATTCTAGATATGATTTTTACTAGTTAGTTAATTTAGTTTTTTTTTAATATCTAATTAGTCTTAATTATTTTTTATTTAGTAATCTTAAAACTTTTTACTTTTATTAAACAGAATTTTTTTTTTAGATTAGATATTAACTAATATAACTTATAAAAAGTTATATTATTTTAGAGGTTTGCATTAGATCTTGTAGCCTAGCTTAGCCTAGTTTAGCCTACAAATTTTTATGAGCTGAGCTAAGTCTGAAGCAAAGTTTTACAACTGCAGGCTAATGCAAGCTTAAAAATTTTCAAAAATTTATAATAAATTTTGTGTACTAGACTGAGTTAGGCTAGTCTGAAAAAATTTTTATATATATATAGGCTAAGTCAGGCTAGCAAAAAAAATTTAGAACTAAGTGTAAACTAGATCAGGTTGACAAAAAAATTTTAAAACTAAATACAAGCTGAGCTAGACTACAAAAATAAGTAATTTGCAGGCTTCAATACTATCTTATTATTTAAAATTTCTACTATATAAATTTTTTACTTATTCTTTAATTTGTAACACAGACAAATTTGCCTGTGTCTACTTTTAATTTTTGTAATTTTTAAAATAAAACTTTAAATATTAATTTTAAATATATACTTTCTAAGTAAAAT